CATTTCCAAAACTATACTATTCTTTTCTAGTTTCAAAGTGATTTCCTTTAGAGGTCTTTGCTCCATGGTAAACTGTGCTGAGTGCAAGGACCTGACTTCTCCTCACCTCGAAAATCTCAAAGCCAGCAATGTCAAGGATTCCAATGAAGGATGCACCCTGTCGCTTGGTCTTATCCAATGCCTTGTTGATACGCATAACCAGCCACCGGAACATACGTTCGTAAGTGGCCTTAGCCAGCGCTTCAATGGCAAAGTCCGCCTAAATAAAAAAATACAAAGATCAGGAGTTACATTATAATCCAAAGGAAGGCACAGATTACATTGTTTCAGCATATAATGGCCAACTGCTGTTTGAGATTTTTCTCTCCACCACTAGACTCACTGAATAAGGCTCAATTCAGAGGTTTAATCCCAAAGAAAAGTAAATGGCACAGAGATACTCCATAAACAAGAGTGAAGAATTTGTTTTACTAAATTAGTGTGTCAAAGCCAAATTTCAGGATCCTGCCTGTTGGAGAAAACAATGCCTGGTATTCCAGAAGAAAAATGATGGCCAGTCACCTCCAAAGACTACAGTAACACAGCATGTTTCATAGGCCCAAACAAAAGCATTTGAATTCTTTCCTAATTTAAGATTTGTTAAGACGAATCACCTCCCACCATGCCACTACCCTACCTGTGATTGACACAAAAATACTATGTATAGTAAGAAATTAAATCTCAAAATGGAAAGGCAGTCTGTGACTATTTCTAGACCTCACTCTCTTCCCAATCCCTTCCATATTATGGGAGCATGTTTATTTACACTGAGAATAAGGATGTGTCCATAAAGAAGTCATGCAGAGAGTAAGCACAGGAGCTTTGCTCTACTCAGGAGGCCACTAGCTCCTACGTCAGGTTTCATCTAGAGCACAACCCAACTCAAGAGCGTTACAAAATTCACAGTCAGTTTCAAGGGCAAGCAGCAAATTCTTCCACCCTAGTAGATGACCTACTCAAAACTGGTCTTTTCTGTACTGCAGCAACTTGAAAATATTACCCTTGCATACAGCACTGAAGGAACTTACTCCCTTGTGACAGCCAGTCATCAAAATTAGGGCAGTTGCATGCGTTCGTTTTTTGTTTTTGCTTTCCCAGAGAAAAAGTGCTACAGAGGCGGGTGATTTTATAGAGATTAAGTGAGCAAATACTAGAAGCAATACGTATGTTTCATTATTCAAGTGTGGTTACCATACACTGCAGCCATAAAGATGGTTGTTAAATGCTACAGAAACTTCTAATACATTTGTTAGCTTTGTGGCAGTAAGACTGAAGACTAAAGTATTCATTCATTTTTAGAGAATGCATACCTGCTCTTTGGTCTGAGCTTTCTGGACATAATCTCGCCCAACTTTGATGCGAGGAGTCAGGATACCTCTAGTGAAATCAGTCACATTGATACCCAAAAGGTGAGACACCTTCTGAGCAGCTGAAGACAGTAAGAGGAAACAACAAAGAGGTTAATGTTCTTTTGTTTTTCTCACAGAAAGCAAGAGAAAAAGAAAAACATTCCTGCCACTGCCCTCCCAAGAGAGTAATGAAACAGCTTATAAAAAACACTAAATGAAGAATAGATTAATGAGACAAAGAAAGGTATCTTCAACACCAAAAAAATCCTCCAAAAATTCTTGCAACCCTTACTACAGTTTATTGAGCTTCTCCACAAGCCGCAAGAGTAAATTTGAGGCAATAGTTTCCAACACCATTAAGATGTAATACAGAAGCTTTAGAAAGTTCATAGGATCATGATCATAGGATCAACTTAAAGATGCATCAAGTAATGGATTTCCTAATCAAGCTAATTGTTCTGTCTTCATCTACTGAATGTCTTTGAGGTAACTCTATTTCAGATTAAAGATCCAAAACCCAAATGATTTACTCTCCTCTCAAAAATGCCATTTAGAGCATATTTTCCATAATAACAGCCAAAAACATCAATGCTTAAAGATAAATAAGCAACCCCTTATAATTCTGCAGTCCATCTATAATGAAGGTGTAAGAGCTAAGTCTTCTAACAGATAGCCTTCTAATCATGTGAAACATGGTATCATCTATACATGAAACAATGGTGTGCTGGGTTTATGTGGTGGGGTTTCGGCAGCAGTGCAGGGCCTACAGAGATAGCCCCTTGTAAGAAGCTGCTAGAAGCTTCCCAGGCTCCAACCCAGGTCTGTTTCAGGCCAGGTTGGACCTGCCTTCGGCCAAGGTCAAACCAATCAGCACCTCTATCAAACATATTTATGAAGGGACAAAGAAACCTGCGCCACACAAGACCTGTGGTGAAGAGGAAGGTGGGGGATCTGGCCCCCAGCCTCCCATGTGGGGGCGGCTGCCTGCGCTGGGCCACCACCACTCGACTGGAGATGGTCACGGCAACATGGCTTGGAGTGCCCTGAAGCACCACACTCCCAGGGCACCTACTGAGTAGAGCTCATCCTGCCAGGACCACCAAGGTTCATCAGGCCCGGCATAGCTGCAGCAGAGAGGACTGAAATCTGAGAGAAACAACTCTGCAGACACCAAGGTCAGTGAAGATGGAGGAGAAGGAAGAGGTATGCCACAGCTGAGATTCTCCTGCAGCTTGTGGTGGGATGGCAGGTTGTCCCCCTGCAGCCCATGGGAGAAACAGTGGTGTAGTGATCCACCTGCAGCCCGTGGAGGACACCATACCAGAGCAGGTGGCTGCACCGGAAGGAGTTCGTAGAGGACTGTCTCCCATGGGAAAGGGCCCTGTGCTGCTGGAGGTTGACGGTTGTGCAGATATGCATCTGCAGTCTGTGGAGGACCCCATGTCACAGCAGGTGGCTGCACCCTAAGAAGCTGTAACTCCTTGGGAGCAGTCTGACGGGTGAGGACTGGATTCTGTAGGAAGGACTCATGTCAGAGAATTTCAAGGAGCACTGTCTCCATTGGGAAGGGACTCCACACTGGAGCAGGGGAAGAATGTAAGGAGTCCTCCCCCTGAGGGGGAAGGAGCAGCAGAAACAACGTGTGACAGACTAACCACAGCCCCCATTCCCTGTCCCCCTGCATCAATGGGGGGAGGAGGCAGAGCCAGGAAGAAAGAAGGGGTGGGGGAAAGGTGTTTTCAAGATCTGGCTTTGTTCCCCATTATCCTCTCTGAACGTGCTTGGTAATGAACTAAATTTATTTGTCCCCAAGACGAGCCTGTTTCACTTGTAGCTATGGTTGGTGGGTAATCCCTCCCTGTTTTTATCTTGACCCTCAAGCCTTTTGTTACATTTTCTCCTCCCCACCCCACTGGGGGAAGGAGTGAGCAAGAGGCTGTGTGGTGCTTACTTGCTGCCTGGGGCTAAACCACAACAAATGGGCAGTGCAATAAAATATGTGCATGTACTCTATGTCCACCACAAAAGTATTCATCATACTCTTATAGTTACAAGTCTACCTACAAAGTCAGCAAAGGACATTCCTTAAAGTCTGATAATATAGGTTTGTAGGGGCAATCATTCTCAGCTTGATTAGAACACATACACACTACATATTCCAGTAGAGTAATCCTTCTCATACGGTCATCACGTGTACTTCCTGCCTAGCCCTGTAACAAGAACAATGCCACGTTCCTTCCCATGGGTGGCTGCAAACCCACGCCTGGCAAAACTGTGTGTACTTGTATGAAGGAGCATGTCAGCTCCTTTGATGAATAATTCACCTTATCGAGAAACAGGACTCCAGCATTCCCTACATACTGTAATATATTCTTGTACTTGTAAGAACTTCCTGTAGGCTTTTCTCTGCATTTTTCTTTGGAGTGGGAAAAGGTGATTGGTTACCTGTATTGTCTGGCATAGAGGCTTGGTCTGTATTACGCTCCTTCTTGAAGACTATGTTGCCAAGTTGAAGAACACCTGAGATAACCTTCAGCAGACCTTTTAAAGTAATAATAACATTTTAAAGTAAATAGTAGCTTAGTGTCAAGTATCTCCAAAAGTCCTGATATGACCCAGTTACCTTTCCTGAAATAGTTTAGAGGCCCTTTTCAACATCCCAAAGATCTTTTTGGAATTTGGGAAAAGACTCCACAGGTATTTCCTCTATATGACTCCCATTCAGGACATAGGACTTTCCTTGTCCCTCCTATGCAATACTACACAACCTGGAAATTTACCCATTCTCAACATCGCTATAGTAATGCGGGAGAGAGGAATGATGGTAATGTGCCATCCTACAACATCTATATTTTTTGATAAAACATTCGTTCTCTGTTTTAGGGCCAAAATTCACTATTTTTCTCAATGACTAGTTAAACACAGAAAAGAAACAATTAAGAGTACAAACCAACTACGGGAAGGAAGATTTTGTTCCTTTAACTTTGTATCGCTTCCAGCTCCCTGATCCATGTCTGTATTCCATATAGATATACATCATAACGTATGAAGGGCAGAAGGATGTGGGCGAAAGTGTCTGTACCATAACTATTACTAATTACATGCTGAAGCACCCCACCCATCGCTAATGATATATTCATACTCTTTGAATTGTGCATGTCACAAAAGCAGCATCAGATGCCAGGACAGGAAAGACATTTTTCAATAACATAGCATCCATTCAATTTTCATTATGTATCAATCAAAGCTCATGGCATAATAGCTTCTAGTTGCCTTGAGCAAAGCAAACTGCCAGTCACTTGCAAAGGGGATCTTGTACCACGGATTTTTTTCATCCTCTAATTTATACCTGTTACAGAAACATTTGCTTGAAAACAATGTCTTTTTGATAGCAGAGCGAACAAAGGCTCCATACATGCTACATCAGGACTAACAGAAAGAAACATATATGTTCCTAGTGGAAATTATGAAATTTAGTCGTTTGACAGCTGAATCCGGAGACCCGGCACTCGCACAGACAGCTTATTTTGATGTTGTCTCACACATTAAGATAGCTAGTGTTTAGAATTACATCAAAGATAAGTGAGCCTACCACCCAGCCAGCTACTGAATGTATTATTATTCTAAGCCTATAAGGAATGTTAATGCACTTCACACTTTGAACATCAAGTGCAAAACACTAAAGCTATCTTTGGTGTAGTGGTTGGAACCAATAGCTCATCTATGTGACAGCTCTAGAGCATACATTAAAAACTCAACTCAAAAAACTGAGCATAACAGGGCATCCTGACAGTAAGTTAGACTGCCAATTCTTTTATTCAGTTTAGGCAATTTTCTCTTCATCTTCACGCAGCACTTTCAGTCTCAGATGATTCCGGATATCAAGAAGTGTATTAAACTGTGGATCGCAACAGCATGGATTTATGGCAGGTTGGACTGTGAAGAGTAATAGTTAAAGCACAGGCACACATTCCCTACAGCCACAAGAGCTGCAGCCTGCAGCAGAGGAGGTGGCGACCTCAAGCCACCACAGATGCTTGCTTCGGTGCAGAATAAAAACAGTTCTAGTTTTAGAAGACCTTATACGTTTGGAAACTGAGATTTTGCAGAACACCGGCTCCCAACCAGTGAGGCAGATCATGAATGAGATAGCACAGAGTTCTGGTGAATACGTATCACTGCACTTTGTGCTGGCTGCATGCAACTCTAGCTTCACTGTCATGGTACTGCGCTTCCAGAATCAGACAATATTAACTTCTGATCAGCAGTTCAGCATTAAGCTGGAAAGAAAGGCACTATAACCAGGCCATTCTCCAAGTACTAATCCAGTAGTGGTTGGATTAGAATACTTCAAAGCCACTGCTTAGGGACAGGGGGAGCACACAGGCTGTGCTCTGCACAAGACAATGAGGGGATTCTTGTATCTTGGATGTGTTATTCACAAACGGGATATACAGCCCTCAGATTGGGAACCAAAACAGCAAGCAGAAGCACGCTTTCCTTAGTTGCTTGACTTCTAACAGTAACTGCATAAACTGAAACTGTGCTGCTAGATCCTGAGGTGGGTCATTCCAAAGCCACCAAGTTTATTACTCACGCACTGTTCACTTGGGGGGGTAGGGGGGAGATGGACACCATACAAAACAAAAACAACAAAAGACCCAGAACAACCCCAGAACAAAAAAGCTTCAGAGAGATGTGACCCTTTCCCTCTTTCACTTCCTTGCATTTCCAAGCCCTTCAGAGGATTCATACCTATCTGCTCTTCATCTGGAATGCCCATGATCTTCATTGCTTCCATAGTCTCCTGAAACATATCTTTGTCTTGCTGACCTGGGATCGTAACATGCCCATTGGAAAGGAAGCGATATTTGTTGTAAGGCTCCAGCAGCAGATCAGCTTAAGAAAGAATTGAGAAAGAAGTTACTACAGCTTTTTTTTTTTTTTTTTTTAAACACACAACAAGCTACCACTCTACCACTGAGACCAAATTTCTGACTTGCATATGCTAGCAAGTGCTGGATGAATTTGAGGTTAAGCCCAGTTTTACTGCAGGCTGAAAATGTAGTGTATTTTAGAAAAATTGGAGTTTTTCTGCTTTATTTCTTTCTATTCCTTCCTCTGGACTACTTCACCAAAGCAATGTCAATCATCATTATGCCGTAAGTCTATAAGAAGAGAGGATTAACTTGAAAGTAAATTTGCCTTTAATTTCAGACAACTCATTTGTTTCAAGTCAGGTGAAAGTTAATATGTAGCTCTTGAAACACTGGCAACTATGAGTGAAGTCCTCTCATTCTGTCCTTCCTCCAGATCAATTTGCAGTTCTCACACAACATGGACCCTGATAACCACATTGAGCTAGGTGCACTAGGATCCCAGACTTCTAGAGCTGCTTAGGTGCCAGCAGCTTTGCTCCATTCAGTTAAACGCCAGCACATCACAGTAGGACCATTCCTGCACTAGAAAGGTTTACATCTTGCATGATGAGACTAAATATGGGACAATGATTTAGATAAGGAAGGGCGCAGAGTCATCGCTGGCAAGGAGACAAGTGCAGGAAGGAACCAGAGGAGCACATTTTCAGGAACTGAGAAGGGCAGGGGGAGGGCAGAAGGATGTATGAGTGTATGGAAGAAGTGGAGGAGAGGATGACCATATCTAAGAGGGAGAGCCAAGAAACTATGAAGGAACAGGTCCTAGCCTACAAGTGTTTTGGACCCTCTCTGTTCTTGTGAAGAGGGAACCCCACAACTATAACAAAATCATACTTACTCTTCAAATGCTCCCCTGCCCCAGACAGCAGGTAGTAAAAGATGTGGAAGGTTCTCTCCTCTTTGGCTTGACGAATTGCACGTGACTTCTCCAGCAGATCTTCAGAGAGTCAAGGCATATGGCAGGACATACAAATCACTTCTTATTTTATGACAAGAGAAGAAACTTGTACTACCTGATGTTCTCCTCATGTCAATGAACAGGGGCATTTATTTAGCAATCATTATCAGTCAACAACCCACTGAGCTTCTGGTCTCAGCTCTGCCAGCCTCTGAATGATGGCTATGATAAGAGAGCCTTAAATGACAAAAACCAGAGAAACAGTGGCCATCCATCCCTACTTGTCTTGGACAGAAGCAAGAACGGCTTGCAAAATTCCCAAGCCATTCATCTTGTTGCAGTTTATGCTTCCATTTCAGCCTCCGAAGAATAGAATTTCATTAATTCAGAGGTCTCCACCATGATCAAAATGTCACAAAATACCATATGAAGAAACAGAAGACTATAACGATAATCTTGCCAGCATAAATTTAAGTGCTTTCTACCACTTTCTCGACCTGACAAAGAAGTCAGTTTTGAAGAGATGGCTAGGTATCATTATTGCGACCTCTATAGTCTTTAACTTCTTTTAAGTAGTTACAGAAAGGATACAGGTCTCAATATTAGCTCCAACAATGTAGCCATTGACATCAAAGTTGATTCTGATGAACTTGCCCTGAGAGGAAGAGAACAGCATTAAAAATAGTATTCATTCTATCTGGTAACAGCAGTAAACAGCAAAGGTAAATCCTCTCTTTTTAATCCAAGAAAGGAAATTCAGAACAGGTCAGGCAAGTTTTAGGCAAAAACAAGGTCAGCCAATAGGCAACGCCTGCTGATCACAACAGTGATTTAACAAACAAGACACCAAACACTTTCCAGACATTTCTGACATTCAGACAGCCTATAATTCAAATTCATTGTTTTTCAGCCTAGATTTCCCACAACCAGAGTCCCTTTGGTTTCATGTGCTATATGATCTGGACAGTTCTGCCACCCTTAATGTTAGCTTCAACCATTTTCATTCAGTTCTAGCTCTAGCTCCCCCATCTGCCTCTCAGACACTGTCCATTGCTTTCCAGAGCAAGCAAAATAAGGAGCAATATTTGCTCTCCAGGATAAAATTGACTGTAATAAACTTACAACAAAAATTGGCATAGATGATCCTGGCACAGGATCAGATTCCTTCATTCCAGAGACCTATCAGGTCTATTCTGGATAATTCACTAAATGAAATTCACTGCCTGGATTAATCTGAAGAAAATCATTCACACACAGTTGTCCTATCCCTGACAGCAATTCACCCAAAAGCAGAACAAGTCTTTCCTCTGGAAAGTGTAGAATACTGGCAGCCATGCTGGATAGTAATACTCACAAATCTTGAGGAGTTGTCATTCTTTACTGTCTTAGCATTTCCAAAGGCCTCCAGGATGGGATTAGCCTGGAGCAACTGTCTCTCCAGTTCTCCCTAAAGAGAAATCAGAAATTAACAAAGTAGGTAGTGGTTTACTGCATTAACCTTGGGTCAAACCAGCGCTGAAGCTTCAATTCACACTAGCTTGGCATCTGTCGTAGAGAAGCCATATTAAACTTTAGGAGATGATCCCTTAAACCTTCAAAAGGAGACTCATTAGTTATCTGGGTAAAACAGAAACATTCACAAATATGCCTTATTTCCTTCCTCAACACAAGGGCATCCCAGTGCTGTCTTTCTGTTAACAAGAAGTCCTTCAAAGCCACTTGGCCATAACATCCCGCAGACTTCCCAGGATCAAAGCGAAACACCTACCATCCAAGATCAGGCCCTTATCCCAGAAGTGTCTTGCCATCTAAGCTGGAAGAGCGAGGAAAATCTCACCCTGAACAGAGGGCAGCCTCAGAGACAGCCCTGAACTCTGCTAGTAGTAGAAGTCTGAAAAGGTCTAATTAAAAAAAAAAACAAAACACCCAAACAAAAAGCTTGCACTAGAAGTCTATATCTTCTGATACACAAACAAGCAAAAACCTCTTTTTTAAGGAGGCACAAAAAAAGAGAATTAGTGGTATCCCACAAACTGCATGATCACTTGCATTCTAGTGCCATATATGCACACTCCTCCCCTCAAGGAATACAAAATGCTGGAGCTATAGAAAAAGAAAATTCAGAACGTTTATACCTGCCAAGTACCAGACCATCGGAGCACATACACCTTTCCCTGCAGGCTCTAGACATATTCCTGGCTGTTTTTAAAAACTACTTGTCCTCTGTGCTAAAAGCATGGAGTTCTATATATTTCAAGCTTACCTAAAAAGCTCCTAGAGACAGAAATGACAGTTTAGATTAATGTTTCTCTTTTTAGCAGTTATCAGTAAGTACTCAAGACTTCCTGTGCATAACGAATGGAAATGAAGTTTCATTTGTGAGAACTGAAATTTATGGGCAAATTATTTAAGGGTATTTCTAAAGGAAAATTGTTCCCATTCATTCTCAAAGTGCATTATAAAACAGATTAGTCCTTACACAGTCTCTCTAAAAATACATGCAACAAAAAAAAAAAAGAGGAAGATATATGAGACTCTCTACAAACTATTACAAGTCTTTATTGCGTACTTACAGTCACCTCACTTCAAGCTTGCAAAGTGCAAGGTCAAACAAGACCCCCAGTTCCCATAGAACTGCACATACACAGAAAGTGCAGCTGCTGCAAACACGTTAATTCACTGCCAAGCGCATATAGCAAGGGCGTTGGGCCTGGGGAGGAAGCCTGAGCTGGGACGTCTGCTCTCTCACAACAGAGCCAGTGTGTGGCTTTGTAAGGAGAAAACATTGAAACTGGGGTTCAGTCCTTGAAACTGGGTGGCAGTCACATTGCCCCTCCTGTTCCAGCACATGCACTGAAGCTAGAACACTCTTCCCTCACCCCGTTCCTCATCCACGTCCCTCAGCAAACTCCTAGGCCTTTGTGACTGCAAACTGTTACTACACAAGTGAGAGATGCTAGCAATATAGCATTTCAACCCAACTATAGAACAAGGGGAAAAAAAAAGTCAATTTTTTCTTCTAAATAGAAGTCAGGCTTTTACACCAAATCTATTTTAATTATTTGGCTACAAGTAAAACTAAGGTCATGCTTAGTTACACAAAGATCAAAAGTTTATACAAATCCGTAGCGGAGACCCTCCTGTTATTTAGTACCTCAGTAAGAAAGTGTCATTAGTGCCAATTAGGTGTTGGTAAACTATAGTTTAGAGGCAATTAGGTCTCTTGAACCACAAAGGTAGCAATACCTATAGAGAACGCCAGCTCAGAGACACAGCAATGCAGAGCTGTGGAGAAAGGAAAACACTAAAGAGTTGGTCAACTCAGCTCTCAAGACTTGCCCTAGCACCATGATGCAGTGGAAGGAGCAAGTTCTCAGCATGCCATGGCAGTGGCACATCAGATTAAGTGGCTGCAATTACTATGATGCGTTCATTCCTCACTGGCATGCACTGTGTATGCTGTCTTTGTTTAAAAACACAATTCCTTTATATTTAAAATTGTAGAGAAGTTTTGGGTGGGGTTTGTTGGGGTTTTTTACCTTAAATTTTGACAGTTATCTTTCACTGAAGAAAGAGACTTGACTATTGTTATTATTATACAATGGGTAATTTTGCAAAGCAAAACCAGTACAACACAGAGCTGTCAGTCACAAGCTTTCTAGAAATTCTAAGGTTCCTATCATTAAGATGCTGCCAATTTTCTGACACCTGTAATGCCATTCCTTGACCTGAAAAAAATTTGTTTAATACTTGGAATGCATTTGAAGTATGTACAATATTCCTCATGAAAACAGAAGCAACAACAGCCACTGGATCTGTTAGCCTGTGGCTGGGCAGCGCGCACTCTTCAGGATGCTCGCTTTCTACTGCTCTGAAGTTGCAACACCAATTTAAAGCAACTAAAATTCTTGACATCTATCTTGTACTCCGAATTTTTTGCATCTCATACACTTTTTGGGATGACTTCTACTCAAAGTAGAAGTTTTGTCAGCCATATATTCCCCAGGAAGCATGGAGAAAGGCATCTAGAAATCACAGCTAGGTTTAACAGCACACAATTTAAAAAACTAAAGATGGGAGATAGGGGAAGGTGTTTGGCTTTTTGTTTGTTTTAGTGGGATGGTTTTGTTGTTTTGGTTTATACACCTTAGGGATTTCCTTTTGTCGTCTTCTCTGCAGTCATGCCAGAGACTCTCACATAACTGAGTCCCAACAACAGTGATTTGGATGGGGAAGGGAGAAAGACCATCAATAATCTGGATCTTCATTACAAATATTTAAGCATTAGCAACTATTATGCATGAAATTCTGATTAGCTGCAAGCGTTCTCATCTTGAAAACACTATAACATGATTTAAGAAGTCAGTAGAGAAACAGAGAATAAACATGGGGAAACATCAATCAACTTCCATAAATAAAGTTTCATCAAATTAAAAAAAGCCTTTATATAATTAGATCCAGTAGGCCCCAAAAGCAGCCTTAATGTGCTTAGTAGTCACACCATGCAGCTAGAAGCTATTTAGCTGAACATACTAATGCACTGGGATTGGTGGAAGCTGTCACTACCTCTAAAACAACAGAGCTAGAGTTGAAGTATATGTTTTATAAATCTGATTTTGCTCTGATACTTGGAAAAATGGGTTTACATCCAAAACTTCTAATAGGATACCATCAAGAAACCTTTCTGGTAGATAAAAGCACCGCTGCTTTCTATGTTATCACTGGTTAAGTTCTGTGCCTTAGTCTTGCAGCACAAAGGTTCAACACGATCACACTCAACCCTAAAGAATAAATCTGTCATGACCAGTATACCTGAGATCCTCAAAAAATTTAATGTATTCATCTTCATAAAACCTCATAATCTAGTTCCCAGTTTAAGGTTTGTAAAGAATTGTTGCATAGAGCACTCATTACCAATTAACATTCAAAGACTCTAGTTCTAAATCCTCTCTGGTAAGGCCAGTGCTACTGTTTAGTTGCTCAACTGGAGCAAAACACAAGCTGCAGGACTTTTCTGAAGAATTAAAACTTACAGGCCAGGCGAGGAGTGAGGAATAAAAAAAAAAGTGTCAAACTTGGGCGATCACCCAACTTAGGACTGTTTTATTCTCCTAAGCAGACTGCCTGTCCTGCTTCAGTGGTTGCTCAAGGATAAGCAGTGGAAGAATACTTAACTCAATCCCATGATTCTATTTTCCACACTTAAAAAAAGAAAAAGAAAAAAGGAGAATGTTTCTAAATACAGCTACTGACAGACCACGGAAAAAGCCTTCACGTGTCTGAAACTTTGGCACTAAAATTTTTGTTTTAGTTGGATTCCAGAAGTTACTCATTACTATGTGTGCACACACATAGTATGTCTGTGTGCAGAGGTGCCTTCTTATTCATATACTCTACACACCTAAGACATGCCCACACGTTAAGCTACTATGGGAAAACTCTTCTGTAGAGATATAGCAGACACATTTGGCATCTGGCTTTCACTGCACAGCTCACCAGTGAACATTTCCAACGTATTCAACTCTGGCTAACAAGCTCACAATTCTGGAACAACACCCTGTCTGCAGGGCAGCCTTCCCTCCAATCTTTCTTTGCAACCTGCAGCCACATCTCACTGCAGGGAATAGAAAGCTAAATATCTAACTACACTTATCTTACTAAGAACACCATGCAACACTAGATGCTTATGGTTCTAGCAAAGCTTGGTCCGGTCCTTTTGCTCTGGAAGAATACTTCTCAAATGGTGTATCTGTGAAAATCCTGCAAGAAAAACCTTAAGTGCAAACTAGTATTGAGCACAGAACACAAGTATTCTTGATATTACTTTAGTCTCCGATTGAACATCCTCACAAAAAGATTACTGTGCACCACACACAAAAAAAAATAAAATTGTGAATTGTCTATGGATTTGGTTTAGCTGCAGAAAGTGATATTGGTGTGGAGTGAAAAGCTGCTCAAAAAAATCACACAATGGGACAGAAAACGCATTCCTGGTGCAGAACGTGCAGTAAACGTGCAGCTCACCTACGAGGATACAACTGACGAATTCGGCAATAGTCCATCGGGGGAGAGGGAGGGGGAAAAAAATATAAGTGAGACATCTTTAAAGTCCTCCCACCATCACCACCACCCTCATTTCACGTGCTGCTAACACTTGGCTGTTTTCCACCCTTTTAATGTTTTCCTATGATTTCAAAGTTTTCAGCTGATGTCCACTAGCCTATCACTGTATTATCCAGTTTTGAGATGGTGCATATATAACAGCCAGTCCTAATCTATAAAGGTACAGAAGAAAGGAGATAACTCCTCCACAGAAGGATCAGTTTTAAACTGCCTAGACTGGTTATAAGCAATACATCCGCGTGAGAAGATCAGTACAGGTGATGCTTCATTTATAGCATCTCTTGCCCATGCACTTGCCAATGAATCCAAGAGGTTGTGGATGAGTTTATCCCCACTGTAGGTCCACTGAATTCAAAGGAGTTATGACTTAGAATAATGTTAGGCTTGCAATTTTTGACAAATGTTTATTGTTTCATAGTTCACTGTCCTCCTCAGTCCCCTGATAGATATTAGTATCTAGGCTTTTATGGAGCAATATGGCTTTTACCAACATCAGCCAACATATATTTATTTTCCAAAGTCAGCACAGCAATAAAGCATCATTAAACACAGGTCTTACCTGGTCTTTTTTAGACTTGTGTGAGGAAGCAACATGAGCCAGATACTGAATGACCTTCTTGGTGTTCTCTGTCTTACCAGCTCCCGATTCACCTCTGCAAAGAAAATCTGCTGTTCATTCACAAACAAGACGTAGCGGGATATATTCACGTTTCTAACACCAAAAGGTCTACAGAGCTCCTTAACTGCATTCTGGCCACCGCAGCACCTCTCTCAAGATCAAGAGAAAACAAGTTGTACTGGCAAGCGGTAGCAGTGTGGCTGGACTGCAGGCCAGCCCTCAGCCAGTTTGCTGCTGGGTGCGGGTTCCGTACGCATGCACGGAAAAGGCAACACAGAACTATGCTTTCTAGTCACTTGGATACGAAGATTGCCAGGTGGCTGAGGAGTAATTCAGAGGCTGCTGCAAAGGTAGGGGTGAAAGCTAACGAAATGAATCTTTTAAAAGGAAGCCTGCTGACTGCAAGAACATACATATCAATTCTGTAAGCAGAACTGAGGGTCAACCGGTTTTGCTGTGTCTAGAAGAGAAACTGCTGCATCAAGAGTATCTGTAACTCTATCAGCCTTATCACTATGGATGTACTTAAACATAACAGCTGCATCAAATCTGAAGGACTTCTCCAAGCTTTTTCTGTTGACAAAGCTGTATTTCTTTAGTAGTTAGAGCACAAGGGCTGTTTCAAAACCTTCCTTCTTCCTCCACTTCTTATGAAAATTATTCTGCAGAAAGGATTAGATATATACTGGAGGAACTGCAGTGGGACCTTCCTTGACTCTCCATTATTACCTGATTTACTGAGCCCACCCCCAGCACTTAAAATCAATGGAGTCCTCCCTCCTCACAAGAATTAAAACCCACAAAATTTGACATTTAGACAAGCTGACAACTGTAAATACTCACGTGCAAAGGATGGACTGATCTTCCCGATCTAGAATAAAATTTTTAAAAAAGTAATCAGATTAAGACACTAAAATTAAATTTCTGTGACAGCATGAAATCAGGCAAAACCAGGAACTAGTAAACTCTGACAAGTATCTTCAGAAACACGGCCAGGTAACCCCTTCTCCAGCAATCCCACCATATGCCAAAGTATAATGGCACCATAGCAATTTAGTTTTCTCCATCCAGAATGAATACTGTTTGCATTACAATTTTTCTACAAACAATACAGAAGTCTCCCACCGAATGCTTCTTTACCACAGGGCTACAGTCTGATGTACATCCACTTGTTCCTCAGCTCCCTCCCCCCTGTTATATTCAGCCCATACTGCCTTAGAAAAGATATCAGCAGAGCAGTGGATATGGAAGGGGGAGGGGGTAAGTGGGACAGGAACCATTAACAAATCCCAAAGTGCCAAAAACTCACATCAAATAGAGGCTTTCACCTCCAAAACAAACACTGGAAGCTCAGTGAGAAATTTTTGTTACTTATTTTGTACAAGATGGACTTGAAAACTACAACGCTGAGCAGCAGCTTAGGTCCTATACAGCTGATTTGTTTGTGGCACCATCCCCTACTGTACTTACAAAGCAGCTAGTAACAGTAGAAACCTTTTCTTTTTCATGCTGACATACCAGCAGACATAGTAATTTCAGTGTTCAATTCCTAACTATGGATGATAATATATTTCCATTTACAGAACTTACTTCACCCAGCCTATCCACCACTATCTTCTTCCACATCTTTAATCTCCTTTCGGCTTTCACCTACGATTCCACTTCCTCATACGCAGTCCTGACTAGTCCTTCCACTTTCACCCCACTGCTCCTTCACCACTTCTGTGTGAACATACTCCCCTGCTTCTGCCTTGGTTTCACCTTTCCTCCTTTCCTCCACCCTGTGCCCCACTGTCCCCCCCAAGTCTACATCCAATTCCTCCCCCATTGCACCAGGAACCAGCTGGGAGCACTGGGCAGACTGGAGAGTGCCCACGTCTACATCACAACAGCCTTAGTAGCTTGTAGTCATCACAGGGACAGCGAGACCTGTTCTGACATGGAACAGACTTGGGCACAGCAAGTCATTCACAGTTCAAAAGAGCTATCGAGGCACTCACAAAAAAGACTGCCACCAAACTCAAAATCCCCATTAGTTTGTAGGTTATCCATTTAGCTGTGGTTCTTTGGTTTTGTTTGATTTTAGGGTGTTTTTTTTCCTTAAGATCAAGACCCAAGGACTATCAGATCATCCAGTCTGAGAACCTCAGTAACACAGCAATTAGATTTCATTCAGTTACTGTCATTTTTTCCCTTTTCCACCCTGAGCTCCAGTTCTCCGTTGGACTGAGGTCTAATCTCTAAAGAGCCTCAAACATCCATGAGAGTATACAATTCACTGGATTGCTCTAATAAATTATTTCAGCAATTGGTAACATTCATCAGTACATTTATGGATGTGACTCTCCATATTTTAGGTACTGGTTCTATTCCTTTCTCCAGCAGAGCTTAGAGAACCCAAGTACACTCAGTACTCTCCCCACCAGAGAGTACGCAGACAATATAACTGAGTCACCATTCAGGTTGGTTTGTGCAAGATAAAGAGATTGAGCTGTAACTAGGGAAGGCTTTATAATCAGATAGAGTTGAAGTACTTGAAACCACTTTCTATACCCTCAAACACTGCTGCTGCAAGTGAGTTTAAGTATTTCAGTCCTAATGTCATGAATATCATATTCGTCAAGAAAAATCTCCTATAAACCCAGTTTATAAAGACAGAGGTGTATCTAGCCTTTGGACACATTTTCATGGAATAAGGGAAGCAGGTAAACCTACCAAATTTTAGATTCTATCATCTTAAATTATTCTGAAACTATTAATGGAAATGTTAGGTTCACACACTACAGATAGGCAACTCCTGCTCTTAAGCTTCTTTACTGGAAACTGTATGAAGATGAACACAAAAATTTAGAGGAAAATAATCTGCTTTATTCCGGTTAATACTGTTCTCAGAAAAAGCCGATCAACCCTAAGACTGGAAGAAAGGAAGCAGAAGAAAACCATCACTCAAATGGTTGTGGCCCAGAAAACTCTTAAGCATTCAAAACTAGATGCTGCAGCTTTATTAGCATTGCATATTCGTTTTTTCAAGCGCTGAATTTTATTCATTGCATTCAAGATACGCACCCTGTTTGCGGAGAGTCAGGCAAAGAGTAGATGTTAGCCAGCTCCGAAGGCCTCACCCATTCAAGGTTCCCAGTGGGTCAAGGGCTCAGCAGGCACACGCCAGCCCTCTGCGTGACTGGGCACTTTGAGGGTGGATCAGGGGAGTAACTAATGACTCATTTATGGATTGCCTAAGGAAATGTATTCTTCGGTAGTGCGACACCTGGGTGCAATTCTCTATCACAAAGCAGCTATGCAAAAGGAAAAGATTGTGCCTCTGAATAACATCTGGCTTTCAAAAGCTTGACTATAAACAAGCAGCCCACTTGTCCAAGAGGAGGTTATACTTGCATTCAGGTACTATAGAGGCTCTTCTAAGAAGCCAATTTGAGAGAGATGGGGAAGAAAAAAAAAAGATAACCCTAATGAAGGTGCTCCTTACTCCCAGTAGTCGACTCTACCACTGGAATTGTGAGCTGAGGCTCCTCATATAGGCAATGGAGCCCTAAGCACTTGAAAAGTGCCTGCCTTCCCTCTTCTCCAGGAGAGGATCCTTATTCCAGGAAAAGAAACATTGGTAAGCAGACAGATAAAACAACTGCCCAACAGAAAAAGATCAGCAACATCAGATAATACTCAGAAGCTCCATGGCCTTGAATGCTTTTTGATCACGACAAGTTTTGTTGTACTTAGCTGAGCAGCTCTTTTCGAGCCTCATTCCAATGAGGCAAGGTAGCAACAGCACCCTGGAGTGACCCGAGGAAGTCCCAAACAAGCAAGCAGAAGGTTTTTTCCGTGCCTTAATATAGAGAAAGGTGTTGAAAGGTGCTCAGGCAGGAAAAGTCACAGACAGTGCTCAAAACCCTCTCGGCACTACGTTTTCCTCCCCCAACATACTTTCCTGGTGGCCTGTGCAGCTGCGTTAGTCACCTCTGCTTTCAGCCAGCAGGAACGTACCTGCGAGTGCGGGCAAGCCACCGGCGGCCTGCAGACACTGCCATAAAAGGCAACATTCCTGTTGGCAATCCGGGGGAAATTCTTTCCCAGGACTGCAAAGCAGCAGTCATTGGGATAGCTGGAATTCTTCTAATTGTGTACAGACAGACAACTCCAATAATGCGTTGAGCAACAGGAAACTGGAGCTGACCGAAGGGCCAAAGAGCTAATGCATACAAAAGCACAACTCTCAGACACACTTACAATTAAGAATTGCTTTAAATGCCAATATTCATTCTCCATACAATACTGACTTGTGCCATCACGAATCAGACTTCAGTTGTCCAGACAAGCGGCCACCTCCACCTTTTTTTCCCCCAAAAGGATCATTTGACATGGGCGTACTGCACAACTTCAGTCAGCACTTGCCTTTACTCCATTGTCAGTTGTGCAAGCAACCTACTCAGCAAAAGAGAATGTGCTGGGTACCATAAACTCAGTTGCTTATAATAACACAATCAAGAAACGCCTGATTAAAAGAAATCTGCATCTGCTTTTCAATCCTAAACAGAGTCACTTATTAAAAACAATCCAGAAAAACAACTCATTAGTTAATTATAGCAACAGTTCTGTATTTCAGACCAGCTGGCAAAGAAAGCTTTTTATCTAGGCTCTTCTTTAGCTCTCATCACCATAGTATTGAAGCAGCAGCAGCCTCAAGAATTCAGAAATTCAGGAAGTAAAACATCCTTCAAATTTAAGCTATACAGCAGTATGGTATAATAAGATCAGTAGATTAATTTTACTATTAATAAAAAACCCACAATATCTAACACATTCTTGACTTTTTTCAGCCCCAAAATAAAAGACCTCATTTTAGACTGCTGCTAGGACATTCAGCATATTTAAAAACTTAATTAAACCAAAATTTGTTTTCACAAGAGAGACCTCTTGTACATAAGAAGTCCTCAGCCAAATATTCCACTGCAAAACAACAAATTTGAATGATTGATGAACTGCTGTGGTCAAATATATTGGCATAATAGATAAATTAATAGAGCCCCAAACTCCTGAATTTTGTTTTCAGATGTTTGGTGACAGGAGAAGGAGGAGGTTGGGAGGCTAGAAGAGAACGTGCAATTTAAGCTCCACATCTCAGTTACAGAACATCCTAGCAGGCCTTTATCACCCACTTCCTCTGCATGAGTGACTCCAGTTTCAAGCCTGTTCATCTCCATAAAAGGAGAAGTAATATAGCATTCACACAATGGTGACATCATCTCTCCAGCTAAGAGGAAGTGTAGCTGAAAGGCAAAGGCTTGGCTTGCAATCCCCTGCCTATAGCTGACTCATTAAGGCTAAAAGCTTAACCGTAGCTAGATGTTTCCACCCACCCACCTCCTAACCACCCAGCTGTCTGGCAGAACCCAGCAGCCTGGCCCTCTAGGTTTCCGTTACTATACTGCTCCCCCAGCATCGCGGTGAACGTCTGTAGCCCAATTTAGGCAACTGGCTGGCTGATCACGTTAGAGAGTTGACCTAAAGCAAGAATTAGTCTTAAATGCATCTAAGTGCTTCCACCATGCAGTAGTTTCGGTTGCTCGGTCCCTCCTCAGACTTCTCTTCTGACCTCAACATAATCTTACAATCAGTGTCCTTCCCTCAGGGCTCTAACACAGGAGGAGCCCCAGGCGCCTGACACACTTTGCTACTGGGAACAACCCCGCTGGCATAAAATCTAAGCAAATACGTTCACTGTGGTGCTTTAACCTACATGCTGGTTTGAGTAGATCAAAAACACTGCAGGGGAACATCAGAACAGAGCCTGAGAGCTTGCTTTGGCATTATCATTTAAGGAATGCATTAGAGAGAAGTTTCAAAAGGCTAATA